CTAGTCTTGGCCTGTCACACAGGGGCTACCGCACGTTTCTCTTTGTATGTGCTGAAGGAACTGTCTCAACAGACCTTTAGTAGCAACACCCTGTAAAGTAGGTATCCAGAGGATACATAGGTGGAGTGGTTCCCAAGGCGGAACCGGGGTTTTAAACCACTCAAGAAAGAGCACGAGGCTGCCGCGCGTAGCTCTTACCATACAGGATTTTAGAAAGAATGCAGGGTACTAGCGAGCGAACTTACCACAGTGTGGATTTTAGAAAGTGTACAAAGACTAACGTGCACACTTACCATAACATGGATTTAAAAACCGTTCTAAGGGGCCCTCGTGGTTCTCTGAAAGAGCAGCCCATAGATGGGAATGGTGCATCCCAAAACACTATGTTTGAGAAGTCATCAACAAACACCCAGCTCTCAACGAGAGGGGCTCGACCTACAGCACGATCGTTAGAAATCAGAAGGGTAAGCGTACTGCAAGCTAGCCAGAAAACTTCCAGGTGCTCTGGGAAAACAGAGAACTCATTCCAGGGATTTCAGAAAAGTGGGCAAAGCATAACGTGCACACTTACCAATATGTGGATTTTTGAAAGTGCGCAAAGCATAACATGTGCACTTATCATAGTATGGATTTAAGAGTTTTCCAAGCATCTGTTCACAGATACCTGGAAGTACTGAGCAAAACGGAAGAGGCAAGCTCACATACAACCCTCTAAGGCGAGGGGAACACTGCCTGAGACAGCATTGCCGCGACACTAGCCTTCTGTGCCCATCTCTGATCCTTAAACCGAGACGGGCCAGGACCCCTGGGTTGTTTGGGCTGAGGAGAAAAGCCTGACAAAAGCGCTGACGCCTTGTCTGGATCACATCTCTTAGGTCTTGCCTGCCTCCCTTTGACCCGCGATTCTTCCTACCCCTACCCGTAAGGAAGGCTCACCTGAGCTGGAGGGTTATGGCCAGAAAAATAACGTTCATCGAGATACCTCGCGACGTCACTTTCTTTGCCCCCCTTCATGGCAAGTAAAGCTTCGCCGTGGCGCGATCCAGAACTTTCAAAAGCTCATCACATGCAGGGCAGGAGGACGCTCGCACTGCACGCCGATTGCCCCCTCGGAGACATCGCGTGCGTGCTCTTCGCCCAAACAAATAACGCATAGATCGTGTGTGTCATCAGATGTTAAACAACGTCAACACGGATGCACACATCCTCTAAACGCTTTGCTAGTGCTCGCCATAATGATATGAATAGAGATCGCTCTTACCACAGAAATGCACGCTTCAAACAAAACAGTCAATGAAGACGAAGAAGAGGATGATGTGTTCTCCCGGCGCCTATTTATACTATAGTCGCACCGGTAGTGACGTCATGGCTGTCGCCGGCCATGGTGTTTTTTTGGTGTTTTTACAATGTATGCTTCAGACACGGGTCACGACGAGGCATTCCCCATAGCGACCCCTAGAGGACGCAGTTCGAAGTTCCCATGAAAGGGAACTTCATTGTTATCACAAATCTCTATTATGTAATCAAAGTCAATGTGATATATAAAGGAAGACCAAAAGAGCAGTATATGAAAGTTCGTATTAAACCATTATCAATAATTCTCATAATTAACCTACTTATTTTATTTAGATATGTACAGGTATAAAGATACTTAGTTCAGTTAACTGTGCTGACAAAATGAACATTAAGTCTGATGTCTGTCTGGTCCTGATAAACCCTTTAATCATTAATCAGAAAGTTTCTTCTTCAAAGTTTAATTTTCACTTAATGACCTGTTCAATCCTCCTAAATCACTTATAAACAAGAACCTTCACTTCAACTGGACAATGTTCAGACAAACGTTTAGACTATCAATACCTGCAAAATCTGTTTCATACAATAGGTGTATACTTTTAAAAATCACCAAGTCTGATACTGTGATGGCGCCCACACCTGATGATATAATTGAACTTCAGCATGGAACCTGCTTATCAGCCAAGCCTCTTTCTTCCCTTGTCAATATATGTGATTATTCACACTGCAGACTCCAACAGAGTTTCCAACACAACACACGTATCTCACGCTTATCAGGTACATGGACGTCAGGTATGAAGATGCACAACCCAATGCTTATTATTGTACATAGAAGGTTTCCCATGCTTCAATTTGCTATTGCTTATCAGGGCTCAAAGACAGTGATTATTATGTATTGTGTTTACTTAATATTGTCAATATTCTCCTCCCTGTGAAGGCACGTTCTGTTTTAAAACCCCTTTTATGATTTAATGGCCCTAATTACACTGTAACTGCTTTGAACTTTGCATCAGATGCTCTGAGAGCTGTGAGAAAGAAATCAGGACAGTGGAAAATGTAAATGTTGTCTAAAATACATAAGTCTCTTTGCACAAACATAAAATAGACATAAAATCAGACATTGATTAATACAGAAACAGTTCATAGTATTTTATAAAGCATGTGCCAATAAAAAAGGTTTAGCTGTTCAATATAAAATGATTACAAATAATAAAATAAATTATAATAAATATCCATTGCCTTATATTGAATATTTTTCTTTTTATTCATTCGATCAACAGAAAGGTGGAGAGGGGAGTAAATGGGTTTGGGAAATAACAAGCCAGATCTGAACCTGAATCATCAGTTAATGAAAGCTTGCGTTCATGGGAGCACATAATTTGTACCTAAATCAAATATAATATACTGAAAACTAGGTTTTATAAGTCACCACTTAAGAGGAGAACATATTTCATTTTTTTCCCCTTGTGCTCCTGCTCCAGCATATTGTGTATTTCTGTTTTTACAAGCATCATCCATTGCAATTTCTCGAACATTTTGATGCAGACTAATGTTAAAAAAGCTGCAGATGGTTCATATTTATATGAGATGACGCATGAAAGGAAACAGCATGTCAGATGAGAGGATATTTACAATGATTTTTCAGTGAAGTTAATTTTTGATCTTATTTTATTAAACAAATGTAATGCCACTCGGTGGACGGAAGTCTAAATAAGGACCAAAAAACCTGTCCCTATAAATCCATATGGCTTAACCTGCCTCACCTTTCTTCATGATGACAAGCCAGTCATATCGAGCAGATACTTTGCCAAATGTGCCAAAAGGCCTTTGTGTGTGGGACGTGAACGACAGCTCACATGAACATCGAGTAACAATGTATGAGTAACTGTATATTTCAATAATATATTTAATTTCAATAGTACCTGGTTAAAGTACAAATTCCCAAAACAATTATGCATTAAGTATAAATTAAGCATGGTAAAGAGGTGCCATTAACAAAGACCTTTACCCCTGATCTT